AATCGTTAGATCGTGGATCTTTATGCACTTTTAGATTTCTGTGAGGCAGCTACCGCGAGAGTTAAAACGTACTCTTATTTCCTCTTATTTTCCAATTTTAGTATCATTCTCATTTTCTTCTGACGCAAATTTGACATCAGAAAGTTCTTTGATTTCATTTGATTCTTCTTTTTTTAATTCATTTAGCTCCTAACTTTTCGTGGAAACTTGGCAAATTAATTTATAAAATATTCGATTAAAATTCTTGATATTCGTGTACTTTGTTGATACATGTATTAACATTATAGATTCATCGAATCGAAATATGCACTGTGATCTGTCATACTGGACCAGTGAGTTAAAGAAAAAAAAAAGAAAAAAAAAGACAAAAAGAAGAAATGCGCGTTAAACAGATCTTGAATACTCGAACGGCACGGGTCAACGATCTTACTTTTACTTGCTGTTAAAATAAACAACTGCGTAGAGAAATTTTCGCGAGAGACGGTTTGAAAATGTTGCCAATGCCCTTGGAATATCTGCCTCAGAAACGCCTCCGCTCATAGAAACGGTTCTAACGTAATACACCTCGCGCTATTTTAAACGTTTTCAATTTATATTTGGATTTCTTTCAATGTTAGGACATTTAGATAACCTTCACCCCGTAAAATTTTTTTTTACAAAATTTTAACTGTTCAAAATTCATATATTTTTTTAAGACTTCTATTTCGAGGGTGGAACAATTTGTTTGAATGTAGTACCTTCGCATTTTCCTAATTAAGATCAAGATGAAAGATTCAAGTTTAAATGTTTTGCGAATGTTCTCAAGAAATTGAAATGAAACAATCTCTTCAAACGTAGAATTTGTTGACCTTCTAAACTGAGATCAGAGCGAAAGATTTCGGCAACAATTTGTTTGAACGTAGCATTTTGCGAACCTTCCGCGCTAAAATAAGAACGCAAGGTTTGAGCAACAATTTGTTTAAATATAGCATTTCCAGACTGAGATTACAAAGAAAGATTTAAGCGAAGATTTGCTCAAATATAGCATAAACTTAAGCTTTCTAAATTGAGATCGGAATAGAAGATTTCAGCGGCAATTCATTTAAATACATTGCTGCTGCAAATATAGACATTGTACGT